ATTCAATTAAATATTTAAAAAGTTTTTCATCATCATCATAGGGTCGTCAGTCCTAAGACTGGTTGGACACGTACTTCCACTCTTTCGTATCCTGAGCTAATCTTCGCATATCCCTAAAACTAGAACAACCCACATCCTTAACTATTTTTGAACAGTAATCTAACCTAGGTCTACCTCTACCCCTCCTAACTCCTGTTTCTGCCTCTAATATGTCTCTGACTAGACCTTCATGCCTGAAAAGGTATCCTACCAACCTATCTCGCCTATTTTTTATTGACTTCCATAGAGGCCTCTGTTTTCCTATTCTTTCTAATACCTCTTCATTTCTAACCTTTTCTACCCACGTTATCCTCATCATTCGCCTAGAACACCACATTTCGAAGGCTTCTAACCTTTTCGTTTCCGCAGCGCCCACTGTCCATGTTTCGCACCCGTACAACGCCGCACTCCAAACATACACCTTTAACAATCTTTTTAGAATTTCTAAATTAACCGTTCGCGACCATACAAGTGACTTCTTTTTATTGAAGGCGACTTGACCCTGCGTTATCCTCAGCTTTATATCCCTATTACTCCTTCCGTCCTGACTTCCTAGATATCTAAAATCAGCCACTTCTTCTAATTTTTCTCCTATCCTTATATTCGCTCTTTCCCTACTTTTTCTTTCCTTGCATACCAGTATTTTAGTTTTTAAAAAGTTTCTAGTAATAAAAAATTGCGAAACGCTATGGCTGATGGGACACTTTTATAATTCGGAAAAAAAATATTGCGGCCCCATAGAACGAAAGGAAACTTTACTAAACGTAAAAGAATATGTGAATGTATTTTTTTATCTTTTTGAAAATTAAAATAGTAATAATTTTCTTGCGATATTCCAAAAATAACATTGAAAGTGTCTTCCATTTTTTAATAAACCTCCTTAATTCATGAAGAAACGTCGAGACTACTCGTCCGTGAAAGCTGTCTGCCGTGAGTGCGGAAGTCGTAAAATCTGTTATCCCAGAATTAAAGTAGTAAACCCGAATCCGCAGTCAATAAAAACGCCGGAATGATCTACTTAGAACACTTAGTACTTTTTTATGTTTATTCGTCTCATCGTCTCAGGAATTCGCCGAGCGAGCAGTTTCGGCAACAATCGCATTTTTGGCTAAAATCTAGTCGTGTAATTACTTATTTCAACGAAATTTAAACATGACAAAATCAACATAATTAGAATAGAATAAATAAGGGCAGTGGTAAATTCGGCGCTCCCTTTAAATCCATCGAAATTGAGTACGTAAATTCGACCGGAAAATTTGGTTTTATTACGTTTATCGAAGAGAACACTTACCTTGTATCTACTGTTTTAATACTTATTAGTTATTGAAATAAAATATTAAACCACACTAAAACAAAACTTATCAACAAAGAACGTAGCAATTTATAAAACCTAGTTTAATAATATAGATTTTCAGGTTGTTTAAAACGAAATATCAAAACAAAACTTCTCACAATCAATTAAATTAAGCAAAGCATACTTGATGAAATATGAAACTAAACAAATGTTTCTAATCCTTAACTAGTTTTATATAGGTAAATGCCAATGTGAGTTTCTTTGTCTGCTACGATTTCGGCCCTTAACTATTTAACCGATCATCATGAAATTTTGTACACATATTGTCAGGGGTACGAAAAAGGGCACAGGGTACCTTTTATCCAGAAAAATAATACTCTTTTCGAGGGATACAAAGCGTAGTTTTATGTGATTGTCGATGATCATTGACATGTACTTCAGACATCAACGCGAGTGAAACCGCAGTTTGCAGTTATCAATTTTTAAAACACTTATATTATAAATTAATTAATAATTGAAATTTTTGTTTTTGTTTTTTTTATGTAATTGGCGAATTAATAAACACACCTTAGGTATCAATTAATAATAAAATAAATAAATAATAGTCGTAAATTGTCGACAATTCTAAATTTTATTAAAGAAGTGGATAATAAAAAGTAATGGCTGATTTACCTTACAAATCAATTTTGGCTCCTAATTTCTCTTTGAACGAGAATATCGATAAGTAAATTAGTTCGATTACCATATTTTCCCACTAAGTACATAAATACAGAAATATGTAAGTATATTGAGAAAGCCGAAACAGCTCGAGAAATGTTTTAATTGCTCCTTAGATTTCTCAGTCGTTTAACAGATCTATAAAACGTCTTCAAAGTTTGATAATGACTACGGTAAAATTTCCGATGAATTCATTCTCGTCCGCCCTTTGCGCCGCTAGTCGTACTGTTATCGACTCCTTTATCTCGGAGGTTAATTTGTAGTATATAGTTCATACTGTATCATGAAGACAACCCTTCGCATGACCGCAAATCGTCGTGCCGGTCGTACTTCCCTCATTACTATGCTACCTACGAATTTATACATACATTACAAGTTCGACACCGGAACTAGAATTAAGGAAAGTAGATATGGCATCGCGAACATGGCGTCAGCTGTTGTTTTATTACCATTTAAATATCCGCTACTATAACTGTTAATGTTCACCATACACGTACTATAAAACGTATTCGTAGTGAATTAATTTTTTCGAATTTACTTTACCCACTACAGATAACCTCAAATTAATAACGAAAAATTGTTGTTGTCCCCTTCCGGGAATCGAACCCGGACACCTGGTTTTACGCACCAATATTCTACCATTAAGTTTATTAATTTGAGGTTATCTGTAGTGAGTAAAATTAATTCATTAATACAATGAATTTAACCCTACAAAAATTAAATGTGTTTCACGTACTATAAAATTATTGAAAAACTGCGTTTTCGTCATCAACGTAATTTGCAAGTATCAACGACTCCAAAAAGTAATTCTAACAGTACAATGAACTCACTTGCATGTAGAAATTACAAAATAAGCAAGCTCCGGGATTGTAAGTTCGGAGGTGTAGTGAACTGGGGTGATACGTGATAGGGTAAGCTAAGCCATAACAAACGAATTCGACGATAAATAGCAGAATACACGTTCTGTATGTCGTTGGATAGTCGAGCCTCGCACAATCTCTCAACATTAGGTACTTGTTTTTCAAAGCAAAGTTGGATTTCTCCAAAAAAATGTAATAAGTGATTTGCTATAGGAAATACTATCTGTTTAAAAAAAGTCACCAATCAACAGTAATTGTTTTACAGGGATGATGAATATACATAATTGTATTATAATAAATGAAACCTTGTCTTTAACAACAAAATGGCAGGAAGATTTCTATAAAATTATAAAATTTATCAACATTATAGGATATTAGTGAGATGAAGAAATATAAAGAGGGAAACCCATTAATGCTTGTCACTTATCCTAGTCCCCCAAGTGTCTAAACTTTTATTAAATAGAAAATTATTTTACTATAACAGTCAAAGCAATTTGTATTATTTGAACAAAAAATATAAAATGAAAAATAAGTTCATGTTCCATACATGAATTAATTACAAAATTTCCGAACGAATTTGAGAAAAATTACTATTGAGGTGGGTGTTTTATTGTATTGTTGAAAAGGTCAAAGGTTGTTTCTAAAAAAAAATGTTATGATATATGAGATGAAAGTGTACATCTGGTTATCGGCTAAATTTAATCAAACATAACTTCTCGCGCATTTTAATCTACCTACTTATAAATACGTTTGGACAACACGACAGGGATAAAAAGATTCTTTTTGTTTTTCCTTTTTTTTTTCGTTCAATTAAAGGAAGAAAGTAAGCTGTCATTTTGTCAGGTCGATTTCTAAACGAAAACTGCATACAAAAAACATTTAAAACTAATATTAGGATGCGACACAACAATTAATTCAAAAAAAGTAACGTACGTGCTGTACAGGTCGTGACACAGATGGTATGTATACGATACGAAAACTTATGAATGACAAGCATTAATTAGTTTATTAATTACGTATGGATCGTGTTAACCGTCTGTCGAAAGCATTCTGAATTACAAATTCAACAAAACAGACACCAATCCTAACAAATAAGGATATCAACGAAAATCCAGATAACATAGGGCCATCATCATAAGGATGGACACGCACCTCTACTTTTTCCTATCCTTAGTTAATTTTTGTATTTTTCTAAAGCTAGAATTTCTTACGTCGTTAATTTTTTGTGAACACTAATCTAAACTAGGTCTACCTCTACTGCTCTTAACTCCTGTTTCTGCTTCTAATATGTCTTTAACTACCCCTTCATGTCCTATTTCTTATTGATTTCAGTAATGATCCCTGTTCTCCTTTTCTTTTAAATACCTCATTTCCGAACTTCTCTTTCCATGGTATCTTATAACACATTTCGAACGGTTTTAGAACCTTTTCTTTTCCGCCGCGCCCACCGTCTATGTTTCGCACTCGTACAGCGCCGCACTCCAGGCATACACCTTTAACAATCTTCCGAAATTTTAAATTAACTTCTCGCATGCATAGAAGTGACCCTGCACTATCCTCTATTTTATATATCTATTGCTCTTTCCATCCAGAGTTATCTGGCTTCCTAAATACGGAAAGTCAGCCACTTTTTCTAATTTTTCGTCTGCTATCTTTATATTAGCTCTTTCCCTACTTTTTCTTCCCTTACCTACCAGTATTTCTGCCTTACTTTTATTTATTTTTCAATACTGCTTCCATTTGATTTAAGGCTATCTCTAACTTCTCCTTGCTAGATGTTGGGTATAACGTATATATTTATGAATGTGAAACCACTACCAACTACCATTTTGCTTTCAGTTATAAGGCTTCTTTAGGATAGGTTTCCTTGTTAATTTACGATACAGTCGTATATGTTGTACAGTTGTGTTGTCACTTTGCGTACCTAAGCCACAAACCGCATCACTGGAGCTTCATGTAAATTAATTAGGAGGTCTACCCCGAAGGAAGTCATTATCGAATCCAAACGGAGGAGTACCCGGCATATTTCTAGTATTAAGCCAAAAATCATTTCTTAATGAAAAATTTGAAATTTCCGTTTTTATTTACAGAAAATGGGCTTCTAAGTTATGAAAATCCGAATTATCACTTAGATCCTGCCAGACTTGATGACGCTTTAAATTCCAATACCGAATCTCTTTACGAAGAACTCTGCCAGGAATTGGATGGTCTTTGTAGGCAGTCATCAAATATCCGTGTCACCCCCAATAGAAAAACCTACGCAGCATTAGATGTAGGTTCAATGGGGGTTGATGTAGGCTCCGGACCATTATCACATTCTACTGATTATACTGACAACAGACGGTAAGTACCTGAATGTACCATCTCTTATTAACCAATCAAAAATTGTATTATAGTTTATAAACTCTTATAAGATAATCGTTGACGAATTATCACAAGTTTTTATACACCTTGAAAATTACACTTAATTTTACTATTTCGACATTCATACTTATTAGTATAGTTATTTTCGCACAAGTTTTCGAACGTATCCTTGTGTTTTGGCAATTAAAAATTTAAGACATTTAGTACATTTTGGGTGGGGAATTAACAAAAACCCATAAAATCGACCGAATTTACAAACGCCGGATTTTATATTCTAATAACTTCAAAATAAAACTTATTTCACAAGTGCTACTAAACACTTTTTATATTATAATTGACCAACAAGAAAAGTTGTGTGCATTTTGTCGTCGTCGAAAATAACAATAATTCAAATTTTCATGTTTTTACTTCTCAATCAATCAATGTCGGCTTACGTCCTATTAATAATTTACATCTAAGTAAATGTATTTATGATTTATTGGAAAGACAGAAATCTGAATACAATTTCCATACTTTGCTGTTATTTGTTACCTGACACTGATATGAAATACGATTAGTAGGTTACTTTTCCGTTTTTTCCTTGCGAAGCACGTTTCTTTATGGGTTTTTCATAAACCAAAAATCAAAGGATTTCATTTCTATCCCTTTTTGCTTTACAAGTTCACTTCTAATTTAAAAAGCCAGCATCAAAGGTTTTTAAATAAATTTAATGAAAGTCAGTGGTACTATTGAAACTGCGTCTTGATGAAAAAAAGTTTTTATACAAACTGCGTTTTCAATGTCTACTACTTCCTGTTAATTTTGAATCTCAAGGGAGTTATTAAAAATGCTTCCGTTATTCAAAAATAAAAATATGTAATATAATTTAGATTTGAACTGATGACGGGTAGCATGGTCGATTAGACCCCAGATATTTCGTCGGGAATTGTGGTTGACATCTTCAGTGACATACTGTATTAAGGTATAACCTCCGCCCCAGTTGATAACGTTCTATCCACTGAAGATGTTAATCTCGTATGTTGACGAAACGTCTGGAGTTAACCATGACCATGAATGTCTGTGCTCTTAAACAAATATTGCAATTCAATTTAAATTCATATCTGAAAAAGTACAGTTTCTACTTTTCCCCTACTTTGTAGCCAATTAAGTGTTATAGGTAAAGTTGAAACTCACATCGACATTTTGCTCTCTGTTAGAATTTTTTAAAAGTTATAACTGTATTGTAAGATCAATAACGATTAATTAGTCTTGAAAAACACTCGTAACAAAGGGCGAAACGTCGGTGTGGGCTTTAATTAATAAACATTGCAACTTTTATATTAGCCTGAATTTCATATATTATTTGAAAATGTATTATCGAAATAATAATGTGAATCAAATTGTTGAATAGTTTTGCTATGCTATTTTAAATGTAGGTATGGAGCATATCTTCCCTCTTTGAAAATTGGAATCGTTAGGATTACAAATATCAAGTTTTTTTGGTGGTGTTCATAAAAGTTCATAAAGAGTTTTTCTCCGATATTATTTTGAAATATCCCATTCAATTCCCACTTTCTTCCCTGGTATTAGACCGAATGAAATGATATAAAACCAATATAACCTTTTCAGAACACAACTCTTTATCCGGGTTACACTTCTTCTTATTTTAAGAATATAATCTGAAAGCCAAAGCTGGGTGTTGGCAAACAAAAATTATTTTATATATATCAACAACAGCCTTTCGCATTTTATTGGTGAAACTAACATAACTACTATTATGTATTGACCATTTTTATATCTAAAACTGTATACAGATAAAGAACTACGTATATATTAGCTTAAAAAACATAAGTTACTAAAGCATCTGCGTTCGTTTATTGAAGAAACATTTTTTGTTTAAATCCCGGCTTTGATTTTGACACTACATAAATCTTTACCTTTATCTCAAGTTTTGGATTTCGATTTTTCTTCGTGTGAACAACCACTTAGGTGCTTTATTTGTACATCATGAGGTTACTTCTGTACAAGTGTATCAAAAAGACGTAAAAATCGCTCCCGCAACACATTTAGAGTGATATACGAGGTCTACATGAGCTGCAATTTATCAAAAAAGCGAACCATTAAAACGACAAAAAGGGTCACAACAAACATCTGATACAAGAAAAGAGACAAGAAATGGTGTCTGGTAAGCAGTCATTGTGTTGTTATCTTAACGTATAGTAGCGGTGTAAGCAAAGTTTAGGAAAGGGTGAAGATAAAAAAATTCTAAAAAACCCAATTACATAAAATAAAACAATATTTCATATTCATATCTACGTATGTACTCGTTCTTTTTGATCAATTCAAGCATGTCAAATGCAGCAACTGTTGCGGCTTCAATTAATAATTGTATATATGCATAATCAATTTTGTTAGGGTTGTAATTTTTGTAAATATTTAATTTTGTTCGTATTTTTAGATAGTCAACACTTTGTATTTTATTCTAGTTGTATTCAATTTTAATGTATTTATTTCTGTAGGTATAGATAAATATTAGTTTCTTAGAATAGGTAATGCAGCAATTTTAACGAAGAGATCGGACCAGGTAGGTCTCACAAAACCATTCATTAATGGAAAACCCAAGTCCGTCGCTACGTCATCACTTCGGAATGTACAGATAATACCTTAGGGGTACGTAGCGACGGCGAAGGGGTAATGTGCACGATAGGCGTTGCCTATTTTGTGCCAACGTTATTTAAACAACGCGAAATCAAATTTTTAGTATTCGAAAATCAACATTCAAGCTTTAACATTCAAATCAATTCGAAACTCA